CACATCTGTTTCCTTAAAAAAGAAAAAGAAAGGACGAAATATATTTTTAGATCAGTGATTTTTAAAATCCCAGGTTGGTATTTTTTCTCTGCAATGTTTTCATTTGGAAACTAAAAATATGAAATTTCTCTACTGCACAAGTTGCCAGTATGTTTAAGAGCACATCTAAAAGAAATCAACGCTTCCGTCTAGATCTGGAATGAGTTTTTCGATCCTTTGAAATTAAAACATTAAGGAAAACTATAATAAATTATAACTCAATACAATAAACCAGCATCGCAAGAGTTTTACTTCTATCAATGAAAACATATAGAGACAACCCAGCTTACAAGCCACTGGAGCCCACACTTGCTTCTCTCTTTTCCAATTCCTTTGCGTTTTGGTGCCTACCACATAATTACATCTTTTTATGTGTTTATCAGACTATTCATTCATTGTTTTCATGACACTATGCGATACCGTAGTGAACCAATATAACATTAAAATATTTTAGCCCTGGCTGGTTTGGCTCAGTGGACAGAGAGCCGTCCCTCCGACTGACGGGTCCGGGTTCCATTCCGGCCAAGGCCAACGGCACATACCTCGGTTGCAGGCTCAATCCCCGGCCCAGGTTGGGGCCCCTGTGAGAGGCAACCAATCGATGTGTCTCTCTCAAGTTGATTTTTCTCTCTCTGTATCTCTTCCCCTCCCTTCCACTCTCTCTAAAAATCAATGAAAAAATATCCTGATTGAGGATTAACAATAGCCAAAAAAAAAAGAAAGAAAATAAATATTTTCACGTGTCCACTCTTATACATAAATCAAGACCTCTGCCTGCGGCTCCTTCCTTGGGCGGAATATAAATTCCTGCAGAGAGGAGCTGTGTTTTCTCATTGATGGCACTGCAGGTCTGCTGGTTCTATAAGACACAGAGTTGGTCATGAAAGCGAGGTTCCTTGCGCTCCTTTCTTCCCACAAGAAACAGAAATAGCATTTCTACCAAAGCTGTCCACCTGACAGAGGGGGCCGCCTGTGCAGATGGCTCTGCTGAGACACACAAGACATCTCCGTGAGCGAGACTGTGTTTCCAAGCCAGTCGCTTCGCAATCAGGATGAGCCCCGAGAAAGAGCGCTTATCAATGCAACCATTATCTGTCCGTTTGCTATTCAAGGTTATCACCAATCTGATGCGCAGCCTGTGATCAGAAAGAGAGGAGGTAGCTGCACACTGATTTCCTCTGCTTCATCTAATCTCCAGGAAGCCCAACACAGAACAATGGCTGGAATTTTTTAAACGCTAGTGACTGTGGACTTAAATGCGAGATGCTATGCATCCTGCAAATGTAAGATAATTTTGCAATCGTCTGAAAGCATGGACTTCATTAAAAGAACACATTTCCTGGTAGATGGATGTGCCACAAGCAAACTCAATCTCGCATCTCCTATACTTAGACAGAAGGACATTTTTAAAGCTCAGTTAAAATTTAATTGGTCGCTCTGACCTTGAGTGCCACTTTAGGTGAAAAATATCACACCGGTGCTCAGACTTCCTTGAGATTTATGATCTCATGTTCTTGAAAAAGGCCCAGCACCTCCGTGTTCCGGAAATAATTGATCTGTCTCTTCTAAGTGGTATTTTCCTGAATCTAACATCTGATGTCTCAGGAAGAAAAGTACAAACCGATGAAAATACCTCGCTATATTTAAAAAATCCAAAAGAGCTACCAGCATTTGCATCTACCACATTATTACATTTATAAAAAACGGCCAAGATCATAAATTGGTAAACTTCTTAGCACGGAAGAGAAGAAAATGTAAACCAAACCGCAAAACCATTGGCAAATATTGTTTATAATGATTAACCACCATTATTAATAAAGAGCAAATGTTTTAAATATGCTAACGAGACACACTGCAAATCTACAATTCACATCTTTCTCAGTTTGAAAAGAACTCCACAAGGCACTGTAAAACTTTTTGAACTTAGCAGTTTTTCTTTCTTCTTTACTGTAATCACAAACATTACTAACGTCATCCAAAACTCTGGACCAACCACGTTACTGGTTCCTCCTCTTAAAGAAAAGCAAAATACCACGGAGGCCATAGACACGCAGAGAAGACGAGCCAATCTGAAAATGCCTGTGACTGTGTAACTTCTAGCTTCGATGGAAATTCAGCATGAAATTCTGGGCCTGTTAGAAAAGAAGTAACTGGAAAGTATTTCTGGATCTCCTACACGTGACGAAACATCCAGTGTGAAATAACATGCTCCACCTCACAGCACCTGTAAGAATCGTCACCTCTTAGCATTTACTGCGTACGTGCACCGGTGCAAGCACTTTCATGTACCAGCGCCTGTCATGCTCACAACAGCTCTGTAAGGTAGGCACCGTCATTAGTCTCCTTTGACAAAGGAGGAAGCTGCAGCATAAAGAGGACACAAGTTGCCCCAGGTCAACTGCAATCAACAGCTAAGGTGGGTCGCCAGCCCAGGCAATGTGGCTCAGGGCCACGCTTGCTACAACTAGATATTCCATGTTGCACGAGAGCCAACGCACGCAGAAAAATTCTAGTCATTCCTCCATTCATTGAAAAATATGTATTAGGCACCTACTACACAAAGGCGTTCCTGTCCACACAAAAGGTCTCCAGAGAAGATCCACCCTTTACCTTTGAAACGGCCCTGAAACTGGGATCTGATGCAGTGGTTACATCTGAGCCCCAAACTATTTAATCACTTTTTTCTACAAACGCCCCCCCCACCAGAGGCCCCAGAGCACAGTCCGGGTATGGCACTTGGAGGAGTCAATGAAATCAGCTGGAAGAGAGCATTTAAAGGAACTTCCAGGAAAGGCTCGGACAGAAAATGATGCCCTGGGAAGCGGTTTGTCCGTGTGGAGGAAGCCTGGGGTTTACCAGCCCTGGTTTAGACATCTCGGCAGTAAGACATGTCACGCAGCTGTAGGGACTGCCAAACAGCAGTCACGTGGCGACTGACGCGGAGCAAGGCCGTGAGCGAGCGGGGTTAGCTCTGAACAAGGCTTTGCAACTTGCAACACAAAGAGGCAAAGATACCAAAGACTCTAGTCTAGACACACACACAATTCCAGGCTGGCGTCAGAAGCCACCTACAGGGAGAAGTAGTGGCCACCACATTAGGAGCTGTAACACGAAAGGCCATCGACTATTTGCTCTTTTCAAAAATGTCAAAAAATGAGAAAACACTCACATATTTATTACACCTACTGGAAAGATCTCTCAGATAGATAAAATTACAAGCATAGCATATACTACTTCTTTTGTATGTCTAAGTCTATTCTTCATGAAGTCTTTCATGATCTTTGGACAAACTTTTGGACAAACAGGAATACCAGAAGAGTGATACCTCTACGAAGCCATCACCTTTAGGAAAGAGGGAGCTAAACTATTTTCCAATGGGTCCACTTTGTCATATTTATAATCTGTGAATTCACTATATCTCCCTTTAAATCATCTATGGGCTCCTAAAATTTGGGGCTATAAATTGGTAACAGTCCAACGTGTTCCTACAGATATAATAAACAAAGAAATGCATTTCCCTGTTGGGGGGAGGTGAATTAAATGAAAAAAGCCAGAAGAGAAAATATTTTTAAAATAACATTTCTAAAGGTTAATTTTTTGAAACAAAAATATTACAACTCACACAAAATAAGGAAAAAATTACACTCATAGTCACACACTCCTACTAAACAGAAGTCACCTCTACACATCACTGCAGAATCCTCTGGAAGGGGTAACGTCTTGGGAAAGTTACAACGATTAAGAGTCAACCAGAACCCGTATTTTTTTAATGGCCTCAGTTCTGTTCTGGGGTTAAAAGACTGGAACGGATCTCAGCAAGCCGGTGAGGCAATTTCTAACCGGAGGCAACAAAGCTCCATAAATCTTTCCACACAGCTCGCAAGCTGGCGTGGCGACCATGGGTGTGGCTGCAGTTAAAAGTGAGAAAGCTTTGAAAGCTAAACTCGACAACTAGGCAAACACTGTCAGTGAGGCGAAAACCAAACCCATGATCCGGATTCTGTCCCAGCAAGATATCCTTTCATGTCCCACTTGGTTTATCATCAAGTTCATGGAGTTGGGATCCTTGAGCCACGAACGCCTTTCACCCACGACACTGTGGCCGTGTAGGTAGCTAATCTTTGGTAAGTAAACGGTGGAACGCATTGCTTAATGGATGGTGAAGTAATTGCCCTAAAATAATGACGGGCAGACCTCACCATGTGACATGGAAAACAAACAACTGCATGTTCCCTGCAGCCAGAGCCCTTCCATTCTGTCTTCAGGTATAAAAGAGTTTACATACAGGATGAAGAAAAGCACCTTTCCAAACGGGGAGGGTACCGAAGCTCTCCGGTTTATGAGCCCTCCATCCCCGTAGGAAATGCTAATTTTTAAGCCCCAGTAGGCAGGTTGGTTTTCTTTCCCGATTTGGGAGGGAACAGGGGAGTGTGCCGGACACACTGGCATTAACCAGGCCCCCTGAGGCTGCTCAGTAAAGCGAATAACTGCCGATCGGG